GTGATTGGTTTATATATAATGATATGCGAAAGCGTCAGCGTCAGGTAGCGCAGGCGATAGTCTGGCACGGGTAATACCGAATATTCTCAATTGAGAACATATGGGTAATACCCGTTGAGGTGTATGCTAAACGGGTGATGTATATTAACTAGAATGGCTCATATAAACTTGCTAGTACTACATGCAATATATAATACAAGGCAACGTATAAAAAGACAATTACAAATTCAAGACAATATAAAACAACGACTATAAAAATGGTCAAAGCCGATCGATTCCCCATGTTGCTTTGAGAATTACAAAAGCAAACATATGTTTAGGATTTATTATACTACATACAGTACAGTGTATACCGACACTAGCTTGATGCATCAATAGCCAAAGCACAAACCATTTTGCTATACACTTTGTCGGATGCCATCGTTCGGTCTTCAACAATGACTCTGGTATGCCATATAATACAGAATATTTCCCTTCTTCCATTGCCTTCGCCTCTTCATCGCTCTCGATTCAACTTAACGACACAGCGCTGACTCCTAGATCGCGTAGTAATTTTGAGTCTGCACAAAGCGCTAGATACAGCTAAATTGTCTGATAAAAATCTTGTTTTGTTATATCCTAGAAGTTTGCCCAAAGTAACATTGTAAAGCTCTTTCGCGTGTGACCGTGCATGGGTTTTTAATAATATCGATAGTTTATTCATTTTTTCATAATTATTTTGTTATAGTGTACATTAATAGTCACATCATTTAGATTTTAGAATTATTATGTTACGTTAAAATGTTGTTATATGGTGCATTTGTCACAGGTTATCTTATAATTATAGCTAATTAGCTATAGGAATACTTGATAAGTTGAGTTAAAGGCGCTGTGTGCGGAAAGTGAAACGCAGTCTAGATCTCCTAGTGCAAGCTCTCAGTATTTTTCTATGATAGAATCCTTTATTGATAAACTTGATAGTGAAGGTAAATAAATTATTGTGGTTGGTGACTTAAACTGCAATATGTTAGATTCGTTGAATTCGGCATCCAAAAAACTAAATGACTTTTTGAATGTCTATCAACTTTCCCAATTAATCGTTAAACCTACTCGTGTAACTCAAACCACAAGCTCCTTATTGGATGTCTGTATCTCCTCACTCCCTGAGAAAATTATATATTCGGATGTATTTCCAATCGCAATTAGCGATCACAACTTAATATTTGTTGTTCGCAAAATTAATTAATGTGCAAAAAAGGGTGAGAGCCCATCAGACTGTTGAAATTAGAAATTTTAAACATTTCAATCCTAGCAGATTTCAAGAAGATCTTTTATCTCAGCCATGGGATCTTTTAGACAGTGAGGATGGCGTAGACTCCAAATGGTGTCTGTGGAAAACTTTGTTTCTGGCAGTTCTTGATGTGCATGCCCCTCTTAGGATGAAAAGAGCAAGAACCCGAAGTAATATCCCTTGGTTGAATAAAAATTCTAAAAAATCAATGTTTGAAAGGGATAAACTTAAATTGAAGGCAATAAAATCCAATTCCACTTTAGATTGGAATGGATACAAGACGGCCAGAAACGTTGTTTCATGCACTTTACAAAAAGATAAGCAATTATATTATAGTAATTTGCTTTATAAATACAAACACAATCCGAAAGAAAGTTGGCACACTATAAATCGAATCCTTGGGCGAGGCCATAATAAATCCTCTATATCAAGCATTAGACAAAATGATAACATTATTTCTGGTTCTAATGAAATAGCTGAGACTTTCAATGAATATTTTTCTACTATCGGAGACAAAATTGCAAATTCTTCTGATTCTGGAAATTCTCACTTTAGTCATACATAAGTAAATCATTCACGACTTTTGAGTTTGATACTGTATCTGTTGATAAAGTTTTACATTCATTTCATGCTTTATCCTCCTCTAAGGCAATCGGAATTGATAAAATTCCAATAAAAGTATTGAAACTTTCTATAGCCATTATAGCGCCATCTATGACTAAATTATTTAATTATGTAATTCAGAATGGGGTCTTTCCTCGCGATTGGGAGGTAGCCTAAGTTATACCTCTTCATAGGAAAGGTCCCAAAAATTTGTTGGATAATTATCGCCCAATCTCTATCCTTCCAGCTATCAGCAAGGCCTTTGAAAGTATACTTTATGAGCAAGTACATGGCTATTTATCCAATGCTAGCATACTTTCAAAATGTCAATTCGGTTTCAGACGATATCACTCTACAACTATGGTTCTTCTTGGTAGCACTAATCAATGGTATTCAAATATAGATAAAGGTTTGCTTAATATTGTTGCCTTTTTAGATCTTAAAAAAGCTTTTGATACCATTGATCATGAAATCTTGATTGAAAAGCAAAATATGTATGGGGTAAAACGGCATTCATTGGGTTACTTGAATCATACATAACAAATCGGTCACAAAAATGCTTTATAAATGGTACATTATCTCATTCTAAACCGATTAAGTGTGGAATTCGATTTTGGGGCCACTATTCTTTTTAGTGTATATTAACGATCTGCCTAATTGTTTAAAATACTGTACACCGAGGATGTTTGCAGATGATATGACGCTCACTGTGTGTGGCAAATCCACACATGAAATTTCGTCTGCTTTGGATCATGATTTAAATAATGTTAACGATTGGCTAATGGCTAATAAGCTTTGTTTGAACCTTAGCAAAACGGAATATATGCTAATAGGATCCAGACACAGCATCAATAATCTTGTTGATAATCCTTGTATTTCTGTTGATGGTAAACTTTTGAACCGAGTGATAGTGACTGAGTCTCTAGGAATTCATATTGACCAATTTCTCTCTTGGGATTTTTATATTGAGAAATTGACAAAGAAAATTTCTAGTGGCATTGGAGCGATTTCTAGGCTTAAACCGTTTGTATGCAGAAATACTCTTATTTCTGTCTACAACGCTTTAGTTCAAACATATTTTGATTATTGTTGTGAGGTGTGGGATCCGATTGGCAGTGTTTTATCTGATAAATTGCAGACTCTTCAAAATTGGGAAGCAAGAATAATTATGGGTTACCCAAATGAGCACGAATGCTCAGAAGCTGCTTTGACTGCGCTCGGGTGGAAAACACTTAAGAAACGTCGATTTGAATCTAAAGCCAGACTCATGTATAAGATCATTTATGGTTTTGGACCTACTGCGCTTACTGAAATATTTTCTAGTGCGTCAGTTGTCAGATCTCATGACTACAATTTACGTAATTCTGACATGAAGCTCAATCTTCCTTTTCCTAAAACGGAATATTTAGAAAAGAGTATAAGTTTCAACGGTGTTAAGTTGTGGAACGATTTACCTAATGAAGTTAGAAACGCGGAAAGCCTAGGAATTCTTAACTCGCTTTTATGTGCAACTAGCCTGTCACGATCTACTAGTTTGTAAATATTTGACTTTGTATATACGTGTCTTGTTGTTTATTATGTGTTTTAAATTTTTTCACCACGCCCCCCTTGGAAATCAATTTGTATTGAAGGGGTTAGCGTGTTAAAATAAAGTTTTACCTTACCTTACCTTAGTCCAAACTCGTCTCCAGGCCCAAGCTCGGGCGGCCCTCCGCCCGAGCTTGGGCGTGGGGACGAGCATGAAGGCAGTCCGGGTCGAGTTGTGTTTTGTCTGACTTGGCATATTTTTTTCTTAAATAATTTTTAAAACTTTTTTCCACCTTTTCTAACTTTCAAAAGGTTACGGTTAGCAGTTATGACCTTGGATTTGTTAAGATATTTATGTCGCTAAATTTATTTTGATATTTATGTCGCTAAATCAGATTGGCTAACATAAGCCGAAGGGAATGAAATGTTGTGCTCGGGTGAACAGCCGCTACTGGGGAGAAACGTCGACAGAAAGGGCGGCTGCGAAGGAGACTACTATATAGCCAGCATTTTACTAAATAGCCGGCTGCCGGCTGTATAGTTACTTCGAAAATATATAAATGTTACTCAATAATTTTGCATGAAATATTTAAATCCAAATATTACATCGAATAGCTTCGGTAATGCTTAATAATTAAGGTGGCTCGCTACAGTTTTCAAAAATTCAGGTGTTCAACACTTTGACATGTTCAAACTACGCATTTTTAGGATTTATTCAGCAGATATTGGGTTTTTTATATATTTTGATAACTCTATCTTTAAATTATATTAGTTTTACTAACGGATAGTTCGTTGCTATGACGACATACGTGTACGAAATTCACTCCAAAATGGTCTATCGCCTCGTATTGTTGGAAAAGAAGCATGGTGACCCCCAATTTTTTTCGTGCATTATTTTACTTGGACGAAAAGCTAACATTTAGCAAAATATAAAAGAATTCTGTAAAGCCATTTCTTTAGAAAATGCGAAAATGTCATATTCTTTGGTAAAATGTTTTTGACATTACAGAATTTTTTATTTTTTGTATAATGAAAGTTTTTAGCGGTGCAATACAGCATGGAAAATTTGAACATAGGTCACCAGACAAAATAAAAAGATATAGCGCATTGTTTTTCTAAAATGGAAAATTCTAATGACGTCAGGGATTGACATAAAACGCTATAAAACACGCGCAATGGCGTGATATGGCGCGAGCAACAGCTCACGTCAGGTCATTTTGGAAGTTCTTTATTTTCTTAATCAGTTTCCGTGACCTGCGCGTAAAAATGGTCACCCGGTTTTGAGTTCGCGATTCTTAATAAGCAGGGTTTTGTGATAACTATATCGAGCCACCTTAAGTGGTTTGCTGCGCCAGTTGGGACATTTACTAAAACGTCCTTCTCGTTTATAACAGAATGAAACAACACCGCCACGTTGAGCGGAAACCGTGAGTGATGGTGCACTTATTAACCGTTTTTACCCAATGGGAAAACGTAAGCTTACCTGAATTTTAGGCAATGTCGACCACCAAATTTTACTAAAAATCTCGAAATTTATGGCGTAAAGGGATGCTTTGGCTCTACTAAAATCGTACTTGATAAATTGCACTCAGAAATGCCATGTTAATGGAACTATTTCATCGGAGTGGTTGATTAAGTGTGGCGTGCCACAAGGCTCTATTTTAGGGCCATTATTCTTTTTATTGTATCTTAATAACTTGCCTCAGTGTCTAAGCAAAACAAAACCTCGACTGTTTGCTGATGATACGTACCTAACAGCTGCGCGAGAATCTATAAATGATGTTGAAGCTGCAATGAATTCTGATTTAGAAAACCTTAGGAAATGGTTAATTGCCAATAAACTAGGTTTAAATGTGGGCAACACAGAATTTATTATTAATTGGATCTAAACCAATGATAAAAAGTATCTCAAATAGACAACCAAACATTATCATAGAAAACAAACCAATTAAACAAGTATATGATTGAAAAACTCTTGGAGTGAAACCAACCGTAATTAGAGAGAGCAACTCCATCATGTCCTTTGAAACTAAAATCGCTACTCACATTTTTTAATAGCATTATTATTCTTATACTATATATATATATATATATATATATATATATATATATATATATATATATATATATATATATATATATATATATATATATATATATATATATATATATTTCTTACTGTATGTAATATCTTACTATATACTATATCTTTGTAATTTTATTATTGTACCCGCCCCTTGTGGAAATTAGCCTAGTTTGACAACAGTTAACGAGTTTAAATAAAAGTTTCTATCTATTTATCTATCTATCTATCTATCTATCTATCTATCTATCTATCTATCTATCTATCTATCTATCTATCTATCTATCTATCTATCTATCTATCTATCTATCTATCTATCTATCTATCTATCTATCTATCTATCTATGGTTACAAAATTACTGAACCCAGGATGTTCTACAATACTGAATTGGCTGCATGTGAACTAATATTTTTGAAATGTTAGTTCACAGCCAATTCAGTATTGTAGGACATCCTGGGTTCAGTAATTTTGTAATCATGGTATATTTGCCTAAAATTCAGGTAAGCTCACGTTTTCCCATTGAGTTAAACGGTTAATAAGTGCACGTGTCATTAATTGCATTCATGCAAAAGAAAAATATGTGCGTCTGTATATGTGTAATCAAGGTCATATTAAAAGTCTACTGGAAATACATGCATGCAACGACCCCTCGCCTATATTTTCCAAACATTGTTTCAGCATGAAGTATTCGTAACTATGCCAACACTGAACGCAGGCTCGCGTTGCACGTCATGTTAGTCATGGCAACACGCGATCATTGTTTTTCAGTTAAACTTTGTACAACCTTGCAAAAAATAGATGAAACTTGAACAGAACTATCAATCTATAAAATATATAAAGTAGGTATATTATTTTGCTTTTTATAGGCTTTATTTTAATGTAAAATTCAAAACGAAACTCTATGTAAAACTTTTTTAATTGTGAATTGAAATTAACTGCTTTTTGCCGACATTAAGCTAATAAACTATTCAACTCGAGCTTCAACTTATTACTCGCACTTTGAAATGAAATAAGTTTAATTCGTACAGCACGCTTATGAACATAATTTGTTTTCCTTTTTATCATGAACTTCTACAAAAGTTAATTTAACTAAGAAACTTTCGCATACCATGCATAGGAAAGATTTGAACAACAAGAACAAAGTCAATATTTATTTAATAATACAAAGTCATATGCATAAACAATTGAAACAAACTTGCCATATACTTTAGGATTTCCCATACTAAATTAATTCTTATAAATGTTTAAGTTTAAAAAATGAAAGAAGTTTTAAAGTTTGTTATGTGAAACAATATTCCAAGCTTTCTTACATGTATTTTTTATATTTTTGCCTTCTTCACTCTTGGCGCTCCTGGCAAAGAGCCATATTTTGAGATCAGTGAGATGACCACCCACGCACAGTGACCCACGCACGCGATCATTGATGAACTTTAGACTTTGCTATTGCTTTCCTTTCTTTTCCTTTCCTTTCCTTTCCACAGGTGTAAATAGACCGGCGGAATTAGTACCCTCGCCTTGGGCTTACGCCCGGAACGGCGCTCCGCGCCATTGGCTCGGGAATTGAGAACCGTTTCAGACAGCGTACACTTCATGTGCCGAACTTAATTATATTAGATGCGACGCTGGAGCGCGACAAGAACGGCAGTGATTCAAGTGTGTTTATACTACAATGCAGAGCTGTCCTAAGATTTACCTAGATTTACCTTACGGGTCCTCGTACGCCATACGACTTCTCTTGGCAGACAAGAGGTGGCGTGCAGGCATCGGATATGCGATATCCAGGAAATACGTGTTATCATTTCCTCTTTTTTGCCACTCAAACCAAATGTTATCAACGAAACTGTGGAGTAGGAAAATATCTGGAGGCGAAGCTGCATCTTCCGCTGCCATTGTCCCTCTTATGGTTTCATGAATGTAAACGTGAAACTTATTTTCTAGTACCAATTAAAAGCAGTAAAGTTCGTATCCTTGAGTACGTTCAGGGCCTTCCTAGCGCGATAATTGGCGGGGGGGGGGGGGGGGGGGGG